AATTTACTATGAAGTCAAGTTCAGTCAACGGCTGGCGAGCCGTCTTTCGAGATACAGGGCGGAGGGGAGATACGCGTCCAGGCTTTGCGCCAAATGAATGCTTACTTGGTTTGTCTAAAGTTGAGTTTAATTTGGAGAGACGATAACTAGAGCAGAAGCAGCAATGCCTCTACCTGTGGGGCAATTGCATGCACTACCGACTGCTGAAGCCCGGCCGAAATACAATATAATTGCATTTATTCGACCTAACCCACTATGGGACTACACGGCACATTTGTTGTCGTCCAAAAGCTGAACGTTTCAGCATATATCTGGACAGCTTATACTCCGTCATGTGTTCTCTTAGCTCGGCGATCATCTGAACACCACTCCTCCACCGAGCCGCAACCCTCCTAAAGCCCCTATTGTGTCGCCGCGCACGCAGGTGGAGCAAGGAAAATTGAAAAAAGCCTTGTAAAACCTACTTGAATATATTTTTGCCCATCTACTTCCATTTACTCGCTTTATTTCGAGGTTGGTGTTGCACGAGGCGCAAGACACTGGGTTGTGTGTACAGTGCCGACGAAACGACGAGCCAGCGGCGATTCAGCCGTTTCAAATTCCTTTCTTTGTGTCTCATTCGCTTTTCATGCATTTGCTGACAAGATAACTGATATTTACAAGTACGCGTCCATTACTTTTCTTCCGAAAAGACCCAGCTGACGAGATGACGACGAGCTATGCAGCCCGACTTTCGTCGTAGACTTTCCGTTTTTGGTTAAGCCGAGGAGAATGCAAGGCCTCAGAAAACTGACGAAGGAGAAAACTACTCCTGCAGTCCCAACAGCGTCGGCGCGGGAAGTGCGTAGCAGTATGCATGAATGTGCAGATTTACTGCGCTTGAAGGATAGCGCTGTAACATCAGCCAGCGCAGCTACTAGTGCATTTCCCCGTGTTTTGGCGAAGAAGATATTCTGCTACTCCTAATGGAGTGAAGACGCACCCACTTGCTTTTTTCTGTTGTGCTAACTCCCGCACTTAGCCCTGGGTTTTGTTTTCCACCGGATGCATGTATACGTGTATGAATGCACGCAGAAACGGCAACAGGAGTACAGCATTGACTACGAGGCCTACCGCCACTTCGCCTTCTTTGCGGGCCTTTTGCTGCAGGCGAATGCCCCCACGCCGACGAGTGCGGTAGACCTGGTTAAGTGGTGCGTTACTGCTCCTGAACTGCATACTTGCATGAACTGCAGCCGCGTACTCATAAGTCTAATACTAACTTGCTGGGCCTATGCGCAGCTGAAATGAGGCCTATTCTTGAGCAGATCCCAATCCCTTTTCTGTTTGAGGATCTTAGGATCTAGCGTTTTCGTTTGCTGTTTATGTTCTGCACATGCGAACAGGTACCTAACAGAGAAGGCCTACTGTGTGCCGAGGGTGCGTCTCACTGACCAAACGCTCATTTGCATGTAGCACAGCGCAAATTTTTCAGAACCCTCGCCAGTTCAATTCGTTTGCTAGTATCTTTGCTTCTAGACAGTGATATATGCAGCTTGTAATATTTTTAGTATTCTTTGTTGAAATGGCTGGAAATTCTTCTGGGTGCCTTTGTTCAGGACTTGTCAAGGCCTCTTGTCCCCAACGTGTACACTACATTGGTCCACAATCTTATCTTGGATTCCTGTGTGGATGTACGTCTCCGCGTATCGCATGAGGCGGAGTACATCTCTACCTGCCTTCTGCAGTCTAGACAGTGAAGGAATCTGCACTTTTATATTGTCTGCGCACGAGAAGAGGCACAACGGGCTCTTAGAAATGAACCTTGCTCTTCCTGCCGTCATGTTTCTTGTTTCATTCTGCCGCATCTCAGCGCTTCTGTTCTGTTTCAAACTGATGCTCACTTTTTTGAATGCAGACTCAACAGTACCGTCTCAACGCATGCATTGTAAACCCCTCTTTGTGGTTGCCTTGCAGGTTGTAGAGGGCTCAGAAGATGGTCATCTTCAGCTCCTCCCCAATAAATATTTTCTACTTTGGGCGTGGAAAGACTTCGCGTTAGACTTCGACGTCCGCATGCGCGCGACCCCGTTCTGACGCTGCAGCAGGGCGCATGCATTACATGTAATGGTGCACGCAGCCCGCGTGCACCATTACAGCATGCATGCAGCCTTGGGGCTGCAGGCATGCATCGCATCACTGTGTATGCTGAAAACGCAAAGTTGTTCTGTGACCCATGCAGACTTGCGTTCTTAGGGAATGATGCACTACATCTCATGCTACAAGAGCAGTTTAGTGGCATTTGTGAGGACCAGTTCGTCTTAATTTCTGGATTTCTTAATTAGCTCCAGCCTCAGAAAGATGCAGAACGGCACCCCTGAGAGCCGTTAGCCGGTCGTTTTGCAGAAAATGGAACCAGTTGCCGAAGAAGCATCCGCACAGCTGCCTATTTCTCTACTCTGACGACCCCGACGCTGCAAGAATACACCAGCAGAGAACTATATATTTGTCGGGATTGTCCAGTTGCTTGCCCCCTCAGTGCATCCGATGGTATTTGAATAACTTAAATTTAGACTTGACTTGAATTCGTGAGCTTAGCTGCAACCGCCAGCGTCCCCCCATGCAACTTCAGACGCTGGGGAATATTAGGAGGTATTTATTAACTCATGCGCCAGCAGTTTATTGGGAACAGCTGTATGAGACTGCGCTCGCAGCGAGCTTAAAGTAGCGTGACCCTAAACCCTCAGCCGTAAACGCTAAACCCTAAGGCTGCGCCTTGGGCGTTCCAGCTGTGTAGGCGGTATTCACTTTAGTAAATGGTGTTATCTTCGTTCAATAGTTTCACGACTAATGAACCTCGAAGCCAAGGCGCTACTGGTAACAACGTGACTTCCAGCATGCGAGCCGCTAGCAGGCATGGCCTACCATATCCACATACGCTACCCAAAAAGATGAATTGAAGCCGTTGCTGAAATAAATGATTCCCAATGCTGCCCTTATCCTTTGAATTAAACGGTTTCAAATGCTTCCCACTGTCGCACAAGCAATATTCAAGTCAAGCGGAAATCTTACACACCAGAGCCAGCTGGAAAATTACCATAAGTGGCATTGCCACGCCATGATGAAACGACCCTTCGAGCACGGCGAGTTAGGCAAGTCAACGGAGGATACCTGCACAGGCTCTCTCTGCAACCTAAACAGATGGTCAACGTAAAGAAAACTGCTGTACTGCTTCTGAGAAGTGTTTTGCTAATTCTATATAATTTGTTCAAGCGTATATTTCATTAGTACTACCAGTCCGTTGATGCGCTGGCAGAAAGCAAGTCCTTCTGTTCCCGCATACGTTGCAACGCACAAAATGCTTGCCTTAAACCGTACATCCGAACCACCCTAGATTTGAAAGCTTCGTTCGTATTAAACCCACAAAGTTGCTGAAAGTATACAGCTAGTGTATAAGGCATTCCCGAGCTGAGTTACTTCCCTGGTTTCAATATATTTTATATAAGCAATATGTTTGTTTTTAGGGTTACTTTGAGTTGCTGTTCAGCACTGCAAAAACCCCAAACGAGGTTTAAACGAC